GAAGTATGGGGATTTATCACTGCTGTCTATGGGAATTTATTTGTAGTGGTGCACCCGTAAGGGGCCTCCTTGTTAAGGAAATTGCGCCCTCTACATCTGATTTGCCAAAAATGTTACCGGATGGCAGTAAAGAAGGGTACTTATGCGCTTATGTTTTTTTGCCTGAATTATTAATTTGGTAAATTTGCATTTGTTGCGTCCAACTTCATGAAGCTCCTTGTGTCAGATATCTGGCTTTTACAGACTAGATTTCAAGTTGGTAAATGGTTACTTTTTGTTGGCGTGTGGCGCCCTAGTTTACAGCCGTGTCGGTATCTCTTCTACAGGGTTCGGGGGTCGAGAGTTGGGCACTGGTCGACAACCAAATTCAAGCATTTACAAATTTGTATTGAGTCTATCTCCGTGTTATTACATTGGTCAGTACATTTGGTATCTCTCACATGTACGCCATAAGGAAAACGTCATCAAGCCACCCACGTAATGGTAGATAATATATGTATGTGACTTTTTAAAGGAGTAGGAAATACCACATTAGTTTGCTCGGCCTCTGCTGTCTGCACTTGAGCTTTATTTTAAACACTTGCAGTACATTCAAACTTGTCAACCAGAGATGAAGGTTTTAAATCTGGCAAATTGTCTTGTCTGTGCGACGATCATTTTTGTTAAAATGCGTCAAGTTAAAGTGATGGAGCCGTGAATGCCTTAGGTAGGCCCTTCATCATAATCGATTCTTGCTGCTAAATATTTTATCTCCTGTGGCACTCAGTGGACGTGGGCCCCCACTGGCTGAGAAGAAAAGTGCCTAAAAGTGTGACTTCATCAGTATCGGTACGTAAGCCTATAGAAGGTTTGCATGGCTGCCATCTTGCAGGCTGGTGCTTTTGTTCCACGCAAAGCCTCTGTACAATCACTCATAGATTCTGGTGGTTCTGGATAATTATGCCCTTTGTCTCACGTGAGTCTGATACCAGACTCCAGGACATTATACATATATAAGGATGATAATAATGAAAATGGGGAAATCCCACAAAGTACCCATTTCGGGTTTCAGAGAAAAAAACAGTCTTCGGGAAAAACAACATTCCCTGCGTCCGGGTTCGTGGTTTGTGTCAACAGCACACAAAACAGGAAAGTTCAATGGGTTCGACCATTTGACTTCGGAGGGATGTTGAGAGATCGAGCCCGATTTTTTTTCCGAATTGACGAATGTATCACAAGTATGGTGTTCCGTGTCTGCCGTCTCGTTTCTCGCTAAATGCATATTGTATTGTTTATGGGAGGCGATAAGTAAATCGCTTTGGTGCTCTTTATTAAGCTAAAAGATGTTTTTGTGTGTGGGTGTGTGTGTGTGTGTGTGTGTGTATGGAGTAGAAAATTTGACAGTAGTGGTTTTGAGGGGATTATGCCATTTTTGTACGCCTGGACCGAAGACCGGTACGTCACTACTGTGACTTCTTAGCAACTTCCCGGAAATCGTCGAGCGGGCATGCTTTTGTTGTTTTGGGAAGTCATCTGCAGAGTTTTCGTATAAAAGCGCCTGTATTGCTTAATAGCAGAGCAGTCGAAATACTAGCTGATCGGGGTAACTCGACAGAAAAGGCTAAAAGTTTGAAAAAGGTGGTTTTGGCATCAGCTCTCCAACATGTCTGTGTGGCAAAAAGGTTTGAAAAACATCCGCAGTCCTCGCAGCACCGCGGCCATGCTCGAGCACCTGCCGCAGACGGTGATCGACCGGTTGGCCGCCAAACATCCCGCCAAGCTGACCAAGGTGCCCGTCGCGGACGGCCGTTACGAAGAGAAGGAGCTGTCGGAGTGGCTATGGGAGAGCAGCCAGGTCCAGGCCCAGCTGGCGCTGCATACAAAGTTCATCCAGGGGATCAAGAGCGGTCTTCTCGATCCCACTGATTACGGTGAGTTGGTAGCTACTCCCCGGTTGGTGCCCTGTCCTACAAGTGCATGTTAGATTTAAGGTCATATTTGGCGTTGACCATCCGTAAGTGACAATTGCTGTTTAGGTTTAAATTTCGAAGGATCATTGGTGAAAGAAATGGAAATGGTGGGGCGTCTTTGGAAAAGGACTTTGGCCCGTTCTCAATACTTTCCATCTTCACAAAACCGCAAGCCTTTAAAACAAACCCTGAAAACATGAAGACTGATCGCGCTTACTTTCAATCAAACAACTTTCAGGAGGATACACAGTCCAAGATGCTGTCTACTGCTCCAACGCCACGACCTACTACGGAATTGCAGAGGATAAATCCCAGGATGAAATCATGAAGGCCTTCATCCAATCACGCGTCAAAAGTTACACTAGGTGAGTGCCTGGTTGCTCAGAATTCAGGCTGTCTCCTACAAAAGATTCGAACATGACTTTGGGCCCGAGTCCTTGATATAAGCCGTAACCCGTAATAAGGCAGTATGTGTTCTAAAGCGGACACGCAAACGACGTGTGTGTGTGGGGGTGAAGGAACGTCGTGTTTGTGAGTTGGAATGTACGTCGTGTGGGTGAGTTCAAACGTCGTGTTTGTGAGCTTTAACGTCGTGTTTGTGTGTGGTCAGGACCAATTTCATGGATAATTACCATGATTTTTTCCCTTAATGAAATAGGATTGCCAACCATAGCCCTAACAGTCCCCAATCCTCCGATTTTAATACAAATTTTAATAAAATTAGTTTTAAAGAAATGAACTCGTTAACATTACTGCGTGTAGTCAGCGCTACCAGGCGCTGGCTGGGCCAATTTCATGAAGCTGCTAAGCACAAAAGTTTGCTTAGCACAGTTATCGTCTTGCTCACGAAAAGCAGGTTACCAGCCAAAAAATCCATGTCATTTTTATGATAAGCTGTACACCAGTCACATGCAATATACAACACATGAACAATAAGACTGGCAATCCTGTTTTATCAAGGAAAAAATCATGCTAATGATCCATGAAATTCGTCCTGACCACTCACAAACACGACCTTCAACCTCACAAACACAACGTTCCAACTCACAAACACGACGTTCCAACTCACAAACACAACGTTCCAACTCACAAACACGACGTTTGAACTTATACACGACACATTTGCCTGGCCGCTTTAGAACAGCATATGGCATTCCGTGGTACGGTCGAGCCTAGCCTCACAGTTTGGGGGTCGTCACTGCGCCAGTTCGACAGAATCCAAGCGGCCAAACATCACGCGAACTGGTTTGTGACACATGCCAACCTCATTTCAAAATTTTGACCTACCCGAAATGAGCGTACTGAGCAACGACAACATTAATGTTAACTGTAAGCGCAAACCCATGTATTTGTTACAGCCACAAAACTGCGATGCCACTTTG